AAGGGCAGCATGGCAATAACAAACATGAGATCAGAGCACAGAGCCCATCTCTGACCCCTCGCCATCCACACAGACAGCCAGATCACTATCACCCTGTCTCTCTCTCTCTCTCTCACACACATACACACACACACACACACACACACACACACACACACACACACACACACACACACACACACACACACACACACACACACACACACACACGTCATCCATGACATCCTTTAATTGGTGTTTTTAATCATTGACTCTTCGGACAAATCAAAGTGTTTCTCTCAGACAAAGGTTTCCTCCCAACAATGCCCAGCAGTAAATGATTGACTTGTTTTGAGCCAAAGGCTCCGCCCACCCTGTGGAGAGCTGAGAACAGAAAGTAGCCCACACCTTGTTGTACCCACAAGGCCGTTGGCTCATCTGTGGCCCATTGGCGAAGATCCAGAGACGAGACGACCATCCCAGAATCCATGAAAGAGCAAGTGAGCTTCACGGTAGGGCCGGCTTTTAGGCATTTGCAGCAACATGACCTTCGACCTTGTGCACAAAAATGTACTTGTGGTTTTTGAAATTTTCTTCCACCGCGTGCCTCTGGCCTTTTAAACAGATCAGCTTTCCTCTTCTTGCAGCCGTCGGCATGCCCCTGGCCTGAGGTTCGTAGACGACCCGGGTCCACTTTCAATTCAATTCAATTCAATTCAAAAATACTTTATTAATCCCGGAGGGAAATTCAGTGAATTCAGTAATTCCGGCCTCATGTCGGTGCTGCAGCACAGCAGAGAGGCTGCAGGAACTCTACCGTGTATCAGATGAAGATCTCATGATCTTCAAGCCTGCTGTCTCTTAAGCTCTTTGGGTTCAGTGACACATTCTTCTGCAAAACATTACATTTCACGAGAAAAGCAGCTGAATAGGAGAAGATGGTGTGGGAGCACGGTTGTTCCTGGAACGACTGGACCATCTTTTCTGGGTTTCCTGACAGCTTTAAGACACTGCAGGTAGTTGGAAGCTTGCACAGCTCGGCTCAGTGTCTGGCTCGGTCGAGTAAACTCTGAACCCCAAACACTGAGGCTCATTACAGAGACCTCCGCTGTTTTGTTTAGCTGCACTCTTTACAGTTCTCCAAAATGAGAATTGAATTTCTTCTTCTCTGTTTATGTTATCGTTTGTAAACCTGAGCAGAAGTGGAGCATGAGGCACAAGAGGGAAACTCATACACACTTTAATGAAGTATTTACAGATAATTCCAGCTGTCAAATACTTCTGGCCCATGACATAGAGCAGAGTGCTGTCCCCCCCCCCAAACGGGCTCCCCTCTCCTTAAGGAGGCAGATTTGATTTCAGGTAAGAACCTATTACTGAGAGCGGAGGCCAGTGAGAGTTTTAGCAAAAGGATCCTTCATGTTGGAGACAGACAGAGAGAGAGAGAGAGAGAGAGAGAGAGAGAGAGAGAGAGAGAGAGAGAGAGAGAGAGAGAGAGAGAGAGAGAGAGAGAAGCCAGAGGCCAAATCCACATTTAAAATGTATCATTTATTTATTTCAGACTTTTTAAAGTCCGACTCAGACGAGTGAACAGCTGCTTCCAGTCTGACTCAGTCTGAAATAAAAGGGGTTCATAAATGTGAGACACGCTTCTGAGATTCCTTCGACAATCTGAAGAAATCATTTTATTCCTGAAGCAAAGAACAAAATAAAAACTAAACAATATAGAATAAAACTAACTTTCTACTGTTTTAGGCAAGATAGAAAATAACCTTCGGGATAATTTATCCAATTAATTTATTTAGGATCACAAACATTATTATTATTATTATTATTATTATTATTATTATTATTATTATTATTATTATTATCATATGCTTTAGCACGATCATTATTATTATATTATTATTAATATTATCATCATCATATTATTATTATTATTATTATATCATTATTATTATTATTATTATTATCATCATATTCATTATTATTATTATTATTATTATTATCAAATTCCTTAGCACTATTATTATTATTATTATTATTATTATTATTATTAACAACTTTAAAAAAATAATATTAATAATAACTGTGATATTTGATGTTTCATAACCACTCCACCCCTGCCCCCGCAGCAGACCAGGGTGTTGCGGTGATAATGGGCCTATGAGTCGTGACCTCTGGATGGAAACAATTTGCAGGAGGCTTCAAATTGACCATTTATAGGCAAATTAATCCTCCAAGGAAACGAGACACATCCTCCTAAAGAAGGCCATTTGGACCGATCAGAACCTATAAGCCGCGCGGGTGTCTGATCGGTCCGAACCCTCCTCATGGTTCCTGATATTTATGTTTTACGGTTGTTCTCTGTACGTTGTGATCTAGCGCTGACTGAAAAGACGACCGCTTAATTTAGCGGCAAACTAAAGAATGCGTATTATTCTAATAATAATAATAATAATAATAATAATAATAATAATAATAATAATAATAATAATAATAATAATAATAATAATAATGTTTTGTTGTCTCTAATTATTAGCGATATTCTGCTTCATTCTGGTATTTGATTTAGATTTTCTGCCCCCATAGTGAAACACATCTCCAAGCGCTCCGGGTCCAGGTCCGGGTTCGGGTTTGGGTCACACCGACCACTGAGTCTGCCAAAGTGTGATCTGGACTCACTTTATTATTTTAATCCCGTGTGTCGTTAAAACCGATGATAATCGTGTGTTTTCACGTAAATGAGCTCAGGAGAAACGGCTGTGCTGCGTTTGGGTTGATGCGCTGCGGGATTCCCAGCAGCAGGATCACTCGGGTCAGTTTGGGAACAATGCAGGAAGTTGTCCTTATGAATTTTTCTCACTCTGGTTTTCTGGACTTGTTCTGTTTGCTTCTTTCTCGTTTTGCTCCGGCTGTTCACCACGCCGCCGCGCTGTTTGCGCAAGAGCTGCACCATCTTCCTCCGACAAGGTGACAAGAAGCGAAATGGTCCACACGCAGAAATGATGAATGACTAAAAAAACAGATCAGCGCTGGGAGAAGAGCAAACATCTCCATCCATGAAAAAAGGCATGTTTTCTTTTATTTTGCACCAGTCTGGATTTACTCTGTGAGCTTCAAGATGACATCGTCTTGTTTTATTCTAACCCAATCCGAGCTCCTATTGGGCCTTCGATGCGCTGATTCTCATTAGTCTCCAGTAAGCGGGATTTTACGCGTGTTGTGCGCCTGTCTCCGTCGAAGGGCTCTGGGATCAGTCACCACGCTTGTTTGGGCTGGATGGACCCCAAATCACAGATCTGGAGGCAGAGGAGGGATGAGGGAGGAAGAACGGCTTTAATTATTCAGCTGCGCTCCTGCAGAGGGTTTCTGCTGCTGCGGCATCCCCAACACAACAACAACCTGTGATTTAAACAAAATAAAACTCAGTATTGTAATAATAATAATAATAATAATAATAATAACAATAACAATAACAATAATGACATAAATAAAGAAAACATTATTTTATATAGCGCCTCTCAAGATAAAAATCACGAGGAAATTCATAAGAACATAAATTCTAAATACAAAAAAATCTTCAAAAATGTATTAAAATATGGTTAAAATAAAAAATATTTAATACATGATGATAAAATGAATAGGAAAGAGGGAAATCAGTGGATCCCAGGAAAGGTGCATAGGTACAAAGAGCAGAATAAGGAGAGGGTGATGAAGGTCACACCAAAGCATGAACAGGAGAGTTTTCAGCTGATTTTTAAAGGAGACCACTGAGTCCACTGATCTCAGGCTCAGGGGGAGATAGGTCCAGTCTGGCGGCCACAGCAGCACCTGTCACCTTTGGTCTTTAGCCTGGTGCTGCACAACCCTTTGGTCACTGGACCTCAGGGACCCGCTGGAGGTGTATAGGGACTAAGAAGATCACCAATGTAAAATTATCAATATTATTAATTTTAATGTTAAATTTCACAAATCGAAGAGGGGAAATTACTTTTTTAGTCTATCTGATCTGAAACGGTAAAATTATAAACATCAACCACACCGAAGAGAAAGTTTCCAGCTGTGATAAAAACAAATTATTAGGCAAATATGTTTTTATACCTTGGAACAAAATCACACAGTTTTAAACGAGTCGCTTAAATAAGAACAGAAAATATTGATATTTAAAAATAATCTTTGTTGTTTTTCTATCTAAACCATGGGTCTGCGGCTGAAAATTGACAACACAGATAATTCAGGGCGGCACGAGCCCCCTAGGAATTAGGAACACAAATGTGCCACGCGCTGAGGACGCGCATACACCTTTACTAAAGCTGCTATTTGTTGTTTCTGTCCCGTTTCAGCGTGTGGCCTTTCAGACGCCCTCACCTTATTTAGGATCTTTTTTTCCCCAAATAAAGGAAAACGTGAGTTTTTCCTCGGAGAACGTGCGGCGCCCGCCCGCAGTGACGTTCGACCTCCTCGTGGTTCCTTTATCGGACAGCGGACACATCTGCATCAGGTTTATGATTAACAACAGCACGCATCTGCTGTGGACACAAGGAGGAGGGGGGTGCTCATCCTGCACTCATCATTAACACGCACCAGAACCTGGACTACACTAAACTGTTCACTTGGTCTCTAGAGAGCGAAAGGTGTGACCCACGTGACCCCTGGTGTGATCCGGCAGACGGCGTCTAAAAAATGAGTTCCTGCGGTCACTTCCAGGTCAGATCCGACCCACAAAACGCAAATCACGGGCTCAGATTAGTTTTCATCGTTCCTTCTCCTCCGCCTCCTCCCTCCTTCCGTCCGCCTCCGTCTCTCCTCCCCTCTCTCCTCCCTCTATCAGTCATTGCGCTCGTTGGCACAGGATCGGCTGAAAGTGACAGTCTGGAGAGCGCTGCTCTAGGCTGCAGGAGAACCGAACCCAGCCGTTGTTTTGTTTTGGTTTTGTGGGGTTCGGGTTTTCCCTCCTGGACTGGCCCTTTTCACCCCCTCTTACTTTTCTCCTCTGCTGAAGATGAAGCAGTGAAGCG